CTCTTCCTGTTTCAATGTCAGTGAAGAAGGAATAATAACAGGAAGATTAAAATCCTTACCTAAATATCTATACTTGAGGTGATCTGGCAAGGATTTCTGTCCTTGCTTTGATTTCAGAATCTGAGCAGATAGGACATGTGATGGTTCTTCAGGTTGTCCACTATCACAGGAGAATGAATTTTTCCTTTCTCGAGCTCCACTTTCAAAGTCATCAAATGCATCGTGATTATGATCAACTTGAAAGACATTAAAAATTTCCTCCTCCTTACCTACTCGGAATGTCAACTTGCCTCTCCCAACATCGATGAGTGCATCTCCAGTTGCTAGAAAAGGTCTACCAAGGATGAGAGGCACTCCCCGATCTTCTTCCATCTCCAGAATCACAAAATCTGTTGGGAGAATAAAATTCCCCACCTTCACCAATATATTCTCCACCACTCCTTTTGGAATTTTTACTGATCAATCAGCCAATTGGAGAGTGATCTGAGTAGGCTTAAGAACATCTCCCAATCACAATTTCTTGTAGACTGAGTATGGCATCAAATTAATTCCTGCTCCAAGATCACAAAGTGATTTATTGAATTTTGTACCTCCAATGACACATGGAATGGTGAAGCTGCCCGGATCATCCCTCTTTTCTGGTAATTTATTCTGAATCACAGCACTACATTAAGAAGTAAGGGTTACCTTCTCCAGATCAGCCCATTTGAGCTTCTTCGTCAGCAACTCCCTTAAGAATTTAGCATATGTAGGCATCTGTTCAAGTGCCTCCGCCAACGGTATGTTGATATGAAGTTGCTTGAAGATATTCACAAATATCTTGAAGTTTGGGTCTTCCATGGGCTTCATTAACCTTTGAGGGAATGGTGCGGGAGGTTCATAAGGCTTTACCTCTTCCTTCTTCAATTTTTCCACTTTTTGAGGTACACGGGCAGAATGCTCATGCACAGGCAGATTGCATGCAGTTTGCCTGTGCAAGTCATATTTTTCAGCTTTTGCACTTTCTTCATCCTCTACCTCTACAACTCCTTTTTTTTCAGATTTTGTTGACTTCCTTGAACTCTCTGAATCCTCCAAGGCCTTTCCACTCCTCAATGTGACTGCTACAACCATGGCATCCTTTGGATTCCTCTCGGTATTAGCAGGTAATGTCCCATGAATCCTGCCTTGCATATCTGCCAAAGTTTGAGCCATCTGTCCCATCTGCCTCTCCATAGCTAGCATAGACGATTGTAAATTATTGTTGATGGCTAGCTGTTGAGTGACAAATTGATCCAGGCCCTTGAAATTATTGTCTATTTTCTGCATATGAGCCAAAATCAACTCCTCCAGCTGGGGCTTCTTCTCTGGTTGAGGCTGCTGCTGTTGAAAACCGGGAGGTGGGATGTTTCGGACACTAGCTGAATTATTGTTTGACCATGACATATTGGTGTGATGTCTCCATTGAGGGTTATATGTATTGAATACATACCACCCTGGCCTTGACTTCGCGGATTATTGATGTATTGGACATCTTCCAACTGAGCAGCTCCCAGTGGACACATATCCCTGTGATGAGGACCCTCGCCAAGTTCACATGAAACAACCTCCTCTTGTCTACCTAGAGCAATCTTGGCCAACCTTCGTTCGAGTGCATCGAACTTGGAATCCAGCTTAGCATCAATCTTTGCTTCTAAACTTGCAACTCTGTCTATCTCATGCAAGCCTCCTCTCCTTCAAATACTGGTCTCACTACCCCATTCAGTGGCTTTTGAACAGATCTTCTCTACCAGTTCATATGCTGCTGGAGCCTCCATCCTTGTGAAACCATTTCGAGAAGCATTATTTAGGGCATCCCGAAACTCCCTTCTGATTCCATTGAAGAAAATAATGATCACTCTTCTTGCCTCTTCATTGCCAAGGCAGGTGGGAAGTATTTATCCAGAAATACCTTCTCAAGCTGACCCCATGTCGTGATGGAACGGGGTGTTAAGTTCTGGAACCAGTGTGATGCATTCCCTAGCAGAGAAAATGAGAACATCCGAAGACGGATTGCATCATCAGACACGGTCGGGCTCTTCATAGTATCACAAATGCTCGCGAATCGGCGGAGATGTTCATGAGGATCCTCGGTGCTAGCCCATGAGAAGGTGTACCCATTAGTGATCATATTGATGAAGGCAGGGGTAATCTCCATGTTTGCATCCCCAGCCGGAATGACAACACATGAAGCTCGGGCTCCAGTCCTTCGATTCAAGCGAGCCCTGATCGAACGATCCTGTTCTGCCATGATGACAGGCTCGATAACGCGCGGCGGTGGTGTAGGTGGTGTAGGGATGACAGGGACACCTGCCTTCTCGGTTGACGATTCTGAGTTAGGGAAGGCCTAGGAGTTGTGGATGTGGTAGGTTGCTTCCCTAACTTGACCAGCTTCCTGTTCTGTCGGCAAGTTCTCTCGATCTCGGGATCTAGTGGCAGTAAATTGCCAGTCGTCCTCCTTGGCATGCACGAGGAGGATAAACCTGAAAAATTCACCTGCACACTAACACCCAGATCAAAATAGTTCACTCCCAAAAATCAACAAAAATAAGGTATGGCAGTCCCCGGCAACGGCGCCAAAAACTTGATAGGGCAAAAGCGTATATGCCAATTCCTATCCTGTAGTAATCCGGAAAGTACGGGTATCGTCTCTCAGGGACTGGTACAACCTTAAGTTATATCAATTTTATTGAGCAAACTATATGTGAACATGTTTAATGAGATGAAACTATGATCTAATAGCAAAGTAATTAAACAAAACAAGCAAATTAAAGTGTCGGGTTTAAATCAATGGGAGAAAGCTCTGGGAGAAACACCGGGACTCACTACCTATCATATCAAAATTAATTCACATATTCCAATCAATTTAATCCAACTCTCTACAGTCAGGATATCTCTGTTGTGCTAGCTATCCCTGTCGGGAATTTCTACGTACTAAACAATCAATTCAAATCCTATTGTCGTAGCTCAATGAATTAATTATTTAGCCTTAAGACCGACATGCCATTCAAGACTACATAGCATCTTATTTAATCCACTGTCGCTTCGATAAGTTACTATGTCACATGAAATATGTTCAGTTAATAGGGTTTCACTGTCGCTAATAACCTAATTAACTACAATTCAATGTATTGGTGGCCAGTCAACACAAAGCATTATGTAATTTCATGCAATAGAGATTGGAAGAAAAGAATCATAAATCAATCCATCAAATCAAGAAATAGCTACATCCTATGGTGTTCCCCCCAGAAATCGGGGTTTAGTTCATGATCATGGAGAACAAACTAACAAATAATTCTAGGTTTAACATCTTAGAATTCAAGAAATAGGAAAAAGAATTACGAATAAAATAACCCTTTTCTCTAACCCTGATTCCCGATGATCGCCTGAAATTTAATTCCAAATCAGTACTCTCGACAAGCGAAGGGTTTCGCTTCGTGCGATGCTACTGCTTCTCCGCTAATCGCCGTTTTCTTCCTGCCCAGAAAAATCCGTCCCAAGCCCCTGTTGCCTTTTTTTTTCTTTTATTCTCCCCCGCCTTCTTTTCTTTTCCCCGCTCAAAAACAGATCTCGTCCCAAAACAAGTTTTTTTTTCTCCCACAATAATTCCACCCTTTTTGATTTTGTTCCCCGCTGCCCTTCTCCTTTTCTTTTTCTCCTTGGGCCCATAAATGCCATGTCCAAAGAATTCCTTCCCCCTGCCAATTACGTGTCCCAAAAGAATTGCCCTCCAAGCAATTAATTAATCCCCAGCAATTTCGTTTCTCACAAAAGTCCAGTCCCGGTTCAACTCCTCAGTAAGTTCCGGTCCAATGTACATCCAGTCCACTTGAATTATTCTATCCACCAATGCAAATTTCTCGTTTCATTTACCTGAAATATATAAAACATTTGGCACTTGATGGTAATGGTTTTATAACCATTCCAGGCTTAGTTGGACCTCAAACAAGTATTATAGGTCTCAAACATATCATGAAATAATCACATTAAGCACGCAAAATCAATATGTTTTCGACAATTATCACTACCACGAACGGTACCATTATATTTGGTGTGGATCTAGTTCGGCTTGTTGCTCTCATTGTTGAAACTTTAATGTTTCAGGTCAGCATAAGTGGTTCACCTAGCAGATTATGTTCCCATATATATTATTTCTACGTACCCAAGTAAGCAACATTATTCTATTCCACCGCATGTATTCAAGTTTCATACTCTAATCATTGAGGTAACACTTCTCAATGTCGACATAAACATGCATCAATTCTCGTTTCTCTAGCATTCTCAACATTTATTAGTTTCATGCATAGAGTTATATGGAATAGATTCTACTTTATCATTTATTAATGACTTAGGAGGAAAGTTTTAGTTCTTACCTCTTATCGAGAAATCATTGCATTCTGGTTCTGCAATGAATAACTAGTGTGTCGCTTAGCTTCCAATTGATACTCCCCTATCTGAGTTCCGCTTCCAGTTAAGCTCAAACTGTCCAATACTTGGGCCTGCATAATTCCACTTTGATTGCCCACCATAGCCCACCATGTTCATCTTTCTTTTTTCAGAGTCTAGCATCACTACTGATGCGACAACCAAGCGAATTTCTATCCCCTATGGCTCGTGCATATCAAAGTGAAGAAGAGACAAGAATGGCGTCAGTAATATGCATAAGCATTCCAGCTAAATTAAACTCAAGCAATAATGATTACACGGAGTTTGAGAGGAGAAGCTAGTAGCTTCTTTCACAGTCATCACAAACGCCGGAGCAGCTGAAGCCTGAAGCATTTCCTTGAGAGTCGTTCCTTCTTCCCTTGGTTTATGTCCGTTGATTATTATTTCCATGATTAGTTGATAACATCTGCTTCTCGAAGAAGCTTCCAAGCCTGGGCCTGGGCCCCCACTATTTGCTCCATAAAGGCTCCTTAAAATGACATAGGTTAAGCTACACATTCACCACAACCATTGCATATTCCAAAAACATGTATTATTTAATTAATGACCTGCCCTCGAGCCAACATGTCGCTCATGGGCCCGGACCTATTACCACTCATGGAGAGCCCAGCTGCGAAGAGTCTCAAACCCTCTCCGGCATTGAAAAATGGAAGGGCAGAAAATACAGTGCGGACCGGAGGAGGAAAGACCGACGGAAGCCGCTGCCCGGAGCCTCTCCATGGCGAGTTGATGATCACCACTCCACCATTCGAACACCCTTTCACATGCTTATCATGGGCTCTGAATTCCTGTTCCAACTCGAATGCAACATCTATCTCAAGCAAGCAGTTCAATTCCGGATTCTCGCACAAGGAGCTCTTATCCCTATCCGGGAAAAGAAAACAACTGTGGTAGGCCTTTTTCACGAGCGACAATAGTAATTGATCGAGCCAACATCGGCATCCTGTTCGGTACATATGACAGCAACCAAGCGTCTTAAAATTGTTAGAAATCGAACAAGAAAAAAAATTAGGTTACCGATGTGGCTGAGTCGCGGACTAAGTCTCTCTCTTTAAGAAATTCGCGGCACTGCCTCGTTATTTACACAGCAGACTATTAGTCGGTCGCCTCCAGGATAAAACAACCACTCTTTTGATTTGCTCAGCGGTTTTGTGCGAAAACCAGAGCTCTATGAACCCACTCTCTTTCTCGTGTTTCTGCTCTCTGAGGTATGTTTAGAGGGACTAGGGGGTCTGCTATTTATAGGAGCAGAAAACCCAGAATATTCCCTCTTTCTTTGGGAATAAGTCGCATTTTAATTAGGGAGATAATTAGGGTAAAATACCTCCGGTACCACTAAAGTTTGAGAACTGGGGCAGACATACCACTTAAGTTTGAATAGGGCGTCGGGTACCATTAAAGTCACCAAAATGTGCATCCGTCTAGTTTTCCATCCAACCCAAAATTTTAATTACTTTTTGGTACCCAAAACTTTTAAAAACATCCAAAACTATATTTCAACAAGTTTTTATCTAATAGAGAAATTAACAAACCTTCTAAACATAATATTACTAAAATGACTAATCAAAATTTTCAATAAAATAGATAAGTTAGTAAAAATAATAAACAAATATCAAGAAGAAGAATAAATATATAGAATATAATAATAAATATTTAAAATCAATATTAGAAGATCTATTTAAATCACTAATCCGATAAGAAGTAGCATTAAACATAGTTAAAATAGAATCTAATCGATCATCAATACATCAAGACCAAAGAATGATAAATGAAACATAGTTAGAAAGAATTAAACATATTACAGTAATTGAAGAAAATTTCGAACGAAAATAGAACGAAAGTAACTAAGAAAATTATACAACATCCAAATGATGTACGAGAATTAAATATAACATCCTCATATATTTATATCGATATAGAATTCATAGGATATATTTGCTTAAGCAAATTATTCGATTATTATAACACACAATGGTAATTTAAAGTACTTATAATGATAATTGATTGTACATTTTCTATTCAAAAATTGGTTTGGTATCAAAATCTTCAAAAAAAAAAAAGGAGAATAATTCAATTATTAGAAAACATAATAATAATTGAAAATACTTATAATAATATTGATTTTAAATTTTTTATTCATAAATTAATTTGGTATCAAGTTTTCAAAAGAGGATATCAATTAAATAATAAAAATTGATGTTTTTCATAAGTCAAAAATGATTTTTTACAATAAGAAAAGTAGAAAGACCAATTAAGAAATTTAGAAAACAGAATATTCCAAGAATATTCTGTTAACTTTAACGGAATGCACTTAACATTAAACTTAAGTGGTACCGGGTGCACAAATAATAAAGTTCAGTGGTACCCGACGCCCTATTCAAACTTAAGTGGTATGCATGCCCCAATTCTGAAACTTAAGTGGTATCCGAGGTATTTTAGCCGAGATAATTACTCCCATAATTAAAATATAATCTATTAAGATAATTAATCCTAATGATCTCCATAATATTCCTTTTATTAATTATCCATCTTATTTTTGTATTATGGGCAAATACTGGATAATTAATTAGGAATTTCATTTATAGCTTTTCAAAGCTATTCATCCCAACACTTAGTATAGATATTTGAAAGCAAAGAAGAATGAGGATGTTCTGTAATATACCAAGAAGCACCCATTTTACATCTAGAATTCCACTTCTCGTAGATAAGAGAATTCCACCACTGTAGTTTCTGATAGGACACTACAAGAAAAGTTGGCTTTAGAAGCAGAGCTGGGACACCCCTACCAGTCTCTTCGACTCAGATAAGACCCTGTGATGTCAATCTTCTTATACATCATCAATTTATAAGGTCGATGCTTCTCTGCATTGCACCATTTAGGGTGTCTATAGATAGGAAGGTCGATGGCAGCCCAAAGAAGATTATCTGAAGGCCTTGTAATTCGCTGGAAAAGTCACTATACACCTCCAATTACCAGACTTCGGATTGGGGTTTCGACGCTTGCGAAGAAGCAAGGCAGAGAGGGAGAGGGACGACGGTAATGAAAGACAATTTCCTGTTGTTTTGTCGTGGTACGTATAACGTGGATCCGGTAGCCGCACATCAGTTTGACGATCGATGACGGAAGTCTGAGGGTGATGACATATTCATTCCTGGTTGAAGACTGAGGGGTACGACAGTGATGAAAGACAATTTCGTGATGTTTGGCGTGGGATCCTGAGGATTCGGTGGCTGTGCAACAGTTTGATGTGGAAAGAGGGTAGAGGAGGATGACTAATTCGTTTATGGGTTGGTAGTGAGGGGTCGACGGCGGTGGCGATGGAATTCGACGGAAGAAAAATGAAATAACACAAATTGAATAAAGAGATTCTCTAGGTTAGGTTCTGTTGGAAAGGAGTTAACCGGAGTTAATCGACTGGGGTATGGTTTGGACATTTGGTTGTTCCACGTAATTTCGGAAAACACAACCTATCACATGGATCATGACGTGGCCCAATAGAAAGTAGCGGTACCGGTGCCGCACTTTTAATAGCAGCACCGTAGAATTGGCCATTTGTTTTTATCTTTTTTGCTATCCCTTATGGACTTACGGGCTTTGTATGGAATAATATGGGCTCTGCATCAAATGGACTTGTGTTGGTTTGTACGTGGGCTTTGCAAGGAATGGGCACGCCGGGTGGTCGAGCTCAGAATAAGTTCGTGGGCTTGCCTCAACTTACTGCACCATTTCGGAGGGATCAAGGTTCGAAAAATCCAACACACAGAGTTCACTGATTCCAACTGCCTCCATGTGAATTCTCCGTCGTTTGGATGAGGAATTTAAATGACTAAATGAGATATTTTCAGCATAATTTTTTATTGGGGTTAATTGCATAGTTGGTCACTGAGATTACAAAAAATGTTCATGTTTGGTCACTGAAAATATTTAATTCCGTTGATGGTCACTAATTTTAATGAAAACGTTCACATTTGGTCACTCTCCGTTAGTCGCCGTCCATCTCCGTTAACAGAGTCCGTTAAGTGCTGACGTGGAGGACGGAATCGTCTAATCAGCCCTATTTAACCCAAATATAGTGAAACCCGACCAGCCACGTCATAGAAACCCGCCATGTCATCTGGACCAACCAAACCCTCTAACTAGACCCGACCTGTGAACCAAACCACACAAATTAAAACCCTAAATCTAGAACAGAGCCACATCTACTTATCCCCTTCGTCCTCTTCGTTCCTCTAGTACAACCTCCCACCACACACGACGGCGCCATCGAAGCTTCCCTTCTCCCATCGTCGTCCGCGCCGCCTTCTGTGCTTTCCGCCAGTGTCCCTGGGCTCGCCAGTCCGCCTGTGAACTCTGCCTGATCGAACAATTTCGCAACATATGGATTTGGCTCAGCTCTAAACAGGTTGACAGAGCCCGTGTGGGATATGGTGAACACGAATCTATCGAGGATCGTGAGTAAGTTGAAGCTGTCGATTAGTACCTTCTCAACGCCTCTTACTCCCTCTCTCTTGCTTTGTGCCTACCTCCAATACCGTTCCCGAAAAGCTCAACTACTCCATGAAATCCTCTACCGCCTCCTTGCTTTTCCCTTTCTCTGTTGCCGCTTCTTTATTCCTTCTTTCAGTCCTTTCTCGCCCCTGCACCTCAATCTCACTCCCAGAATTGAAAAAATGACTAGTACTCCAAAGACTGGAAATCCCCACAGAAATTTTCATAGTCGCCTCACCGCTTGCCCTTCCCTTTCCCTCCACCGCTTCTTCTTCCTTCCTCCAATTCTACTCAACAACCGACCTTATCTTTATTGGGTAGTAAGCTCAATTGCTTTTCTCTTTATCGATTTTTCAAAAGATCATATGATGTAGCTTTACAAAGGTCAATTAAGTTTCAATTCCAGGATATGATTTTGCTACACCCTCATCTTTACGTTTAAGTTTGGGTTAGAGTGAGTTTTTCTCCCCCTAACTCCATTGGCACTCGTAGAAACTGCAAGTAATTTGAAGTGGATCTGTTTTAGATTTTAGGGATTTAATTTGTGTGGGTCGGTTCATAGGTCCGGTCTGGTTAGAGGGTTGGGTTGGTTCAGATGACATGGCCGGTCTTAATGACGTGGCCGGTCGGGTCTCATTGTTTTTTTAGTTAAATAAGGCTGATTAGACGATTCCGTCCGCCACCTCAGCACTTAACGGATTGTGTTAACGGAGATGGACGGTGACTAACGAAGAGTGACCAAATGTAAACGTTTTCATTAAAATTAGTGACCATCAATGGAATTAAATATTTCCGGTGACCAAACATGAACGTTTTTTGTAATCTCAACGACCAACCATGCAATTTACCCTTTTTATTGTGCAGAATTTTAATTAAATAACTAGTTTGGTAAAATGAGATATTTTAATATTAGAGATTTAAAAAACTTACAAGTGAGGGTTTTAAAATAGCTGATAAACATTAGCTATTTTGAAATCACTCATTGTCTTCTTCCTCCGCCCCAATTTTGTCCCTTACAGTTTTATTTATTCCAAATCATACATACAAATCCAATCCTTCTTGTTCTCCTTCGTCCCAAGACCTCACTCCTGACCGCCTTACTCGCTTCAAGATCGAACGACCCCAGATTGAATCCGAACATAATCATCTCCTACAAGATCAACAGGCGAGGACGACGACCTTCGACGCCTAGGGGAAACTCATGAGAGTCGGATTCCAAATCATATGATAAAACCACGATAAACTATAAAGAAAACCACATTGAACTCATAATCTCATATTAATATAATATGTTTCACCAACCACACCCATAATTGGGAGATGTGTGTATAAGGGGTGACATCTCTCTTTCTCAAATACCCCTGTGTCCAAATCTCCTAAGCTTCAGAGGTGGTTTGATTCGTGGATTTGTATGATGAATTTGGTACGGAAATCCTTCCCATCATGGATTTAAGGAAAATTCATTGTTTGCTTGCACTTTTTCTAGAGACCAAACATGTGGGGCCCGTGAATTTCAAGGGTCCAAATTCGTGAACCCCACGAACTTATAAATCCCATATATTGATGTGAGATTTGGAACATGCCATAAATCTATGATAAAATTTTACCCATATACCCTCATGAACTTTTAATATTCCAAGGTTGCCCTCACACCTATTGTATATTATAATAATCAATTATGGGCAGTACGTGGACAAGGCCAAGGAGTATCTCCGCCAGTACAGCGACTCCAAGCCTGCTGATGTAGCTGCGTCTACGGCTCCTCCGGTTGATAAGCCAGTGGAGGAGGCCTAACGGTCGACACCGTGGGCCTTTTAGAATCGCTAGTTGGGCCTTCAGTACTTGGTTTTTCATGTGTCAACAGTCAGAGTTGGGCCTAGTTGCTTGTGGGCCGATGTTATCGGCCTGTTTGCCTTGTGTCCTATAGGTTTATTGTTTCACAGGTTGTTTTGCGGTCTAACATTTCCTACGTCAATCATTGCATTATACGTGGAGCGGGAGATGGCAGTTTATTACGATAGGCCTTAGCAATGCTGGCTTTTGGCGAGTGAAGTTGTTTATATGCAGCGGGAGTCGTCCTACCAGATCTATAAGTATTTGCTTTTCTGCTTCAATTTTAGTTCATAATTTTAATCCTTTAAGGGAAGAAATCATGATATTGTCCATGTCGTTCAAGTATTATAGGGTTGCTCATGTCATGGCAGCAGAGGCGGATACATGGATGTTTAGAGGTATCCTAAAATTTGGATAAGCGATTATCCAATCCCCGGTCATAGTTTCGTATGGATACAAAAAAAATATAATTGGTAATTCGGGACACTCTTAAATTTTGAAAAAATCATTATCCTACTTTTGGTGGTAGTTTGTGTATGGTTAAAAAGATATAAGTAGTACTTTTGTGTTATTCAAACCAGGATACTTCTATTATTAAACAATTCTCCGGGTTACACCTAATTTCTTGTTCTATTTTAAACACTATGAAATAGTAAAAACATTATTTCTTATCCCCAACTATTTTCAAAACCTCACAATTAAACTCATTACGGGTTATTCTTAATTTGAATTAGTTTTATGGTTACATGGAAAGAGTTAAAATAGTTTTTCAACTTTGAGTCACATTAAGAACAATGTTAGAAATCGAATATGAGATCAGTTCTTGAATTATTATCTAGTAGGATATACAAATTTGTTGAGCAGTGCTGAGTCTATTTTATAATTCTTTTTCGGAACATGAAAACACGTCGTGGCCTTTTGTTAAAATTTGTTCTAGTCGGATATTTTCTTATTTATGAATTTTTTTATTTTAATAATTTTTATCTTTAATTTAAATTAATTTTTAAAAGAGGACACCCCTATAAAAAATTTCTGGATCCGCCACTGCATGGCAGTAAACCCTATTATTGTAAAACATGCAAAGGTCTTTTCTTTATTTGTGATTTGGCCTGCAAAAGTCGTGTATATTGTTATACTTCGCATCTGCTTTTCCCATTTTTGGGAATATCTATGGAAAAAAGGTAATGACTATTTATTAACCAAACTTTTTTCTGATTCTTTTTTATTAGCCAAACCTATAGAAATACTAAAAATTAGCCAAATGTTAGCTTACAGTTAGTAATTTTGTCAATAATATTGACTTGACAACATGATACTGATTTGGAAGAGACACATGAAGGTCAATATTCCAAAAATTTAGTATTTTAACTAAGAAAAGAGTTATAAAATTATTAACGAGAACGTAAAAATAGTTAATATTTTGATGCATTATAAAAGATTAGGTTAATTAATAACATTTTAATAGATTTGAATAATATAAAAGAATCCGAGGATAAAAAATAAACATTAAAAAAAACCTCTATGTTTCAACGAATCGCAGCTAGGGCTGTCAATTTGGTTTTGGTTTTTTCGGTTTTAACCGAAACCAAACCATTAAAAGGTTAACGGTTTTGGTTTTTCGGTTTTAAACCATTTAGCATATAAATGGTTTTGGTTTCGGTTAAAACCCAAAAATCAATAGAAAACCAATAAATCGATAAGGACCCCTGGTTTTTTGAAGGACCCCTGGTTTCTTTGAAGTCAACCATGTTTTTGGTTTTTGGTTTATCGAAACTATTAAGGAGTTTATCGATTTATGGTTATCTAAAAACTGATAAGCCTGGTTTTGGTTTTGGTTTTTGTGAATATGCCTAATTTGATATTTTGTTTTCATGCTAATGGTTTGGTTTTGGTTATCCAACCTAATCGCAGCCCCAGGTAAATGGTCATCATTGTACTCTAGGGAACCGGACTAGCAACTAGCGAACAGTAGCACTGAAGGTAAAGAGACGGGGAGAAAAGGAATTCCAAGTAGAACCGGAAAGCGACGATGGAGGGCGGCAGCAACAGCGAACAACCGAAGAAGAAGAAGAGAGTAAGCAAAGACGACGTGATTGTCAAGTTGAAGGACGACGGCGACTTCGACAATCTCCGGCTAAAGATCATCCGGAAGCTCAAAGCCGATGTAAGAAACATTGTTCAGACACCTGCCCCGCGAAACCCTTCTGTCTGTTCTTCTTATTAACCGGTCTTCCGTTTCCCGTCTTTGTTTCCTTCGATTTGATAATTGAGCTTGCAATTTGAAAATTTTGAATTGTGGATGAATTTTCGGATATTCTTTCAGAGTGTTGTTCTGTTGGCATTGTCTGAACGTTCCCTTGGAATTTGAGATTTGGGGGAAATCAGTTTTGCTCATTTAGGGCATTGCTTCTATTAAGCTCTAAGGGCTTTTTGAAAATCTAACGAAGAGCGTTTTACCCCCTTCTGTTTTTGAAGTAGAGAGAGGTGAATTGTTTTGTCAGGTGATTGATCATGGGTGGGGAAAGTTCCTTATTCTCATTTAGGGCATTTCTTCTATTAAGATCTAAGGCCTTTTTGAAAATCTAACGAAGAGCGTTTTTTCCCCTTCTGTTTTTGAAGTAGAGAGAGGTGATTTGTTTTGTCAGGTGATTGACAATGGGTGGGGAAAGTTCCTTATTCCATTTATTAACCTGGCTTCCATGTCACGATTTATTGCAGTGTTGCATCCTCAACTGCTTGATGGGCTCAGATTTTGAGGGGTTCTTGGGAAAAATTCGCCATGGTGCTTGATTGTTATATGAAAGACTTAAGCCATTAGCGATAGAAAGAAAATGGCAACGTAGGGAAAGTCAGTAACTTTCAAAACGGGGCTATCAAAAGAATGAATCTTACTACAATAGTAATAACTGCATTTTGCTCAAAATTTAAAAAAGGAAAAGAACTGCTTAAGCGATTCTTTTGTGTGCGGGCTTTAGTACACCATCAACGCTTTACCTGATGAAGAGTTCTATTGGCAGGAGGAATTCCGCAGTGGCATTATTTCCATTGTGAGGAAGTCAGCTGTTCTAAATGGTGATGGCGGTTCAAATATGAAGCCAAGACAGCTTTCTGATGCCATTTTTGATGAGGTTGGGTAAGTCTTCATTACATCTCTGGATGAACGATTTAAAGCTTTGGACTTATGTAACTGCTGAGAGATGAGAAGTCTGCTATACCTGACGATCACTATGGTTATGGTGATGTTTGTCATTGTTTGATCAAGTTTTCAAAGCTGCTATAGAATTTCAGTTGGTTGGTTCCCCAATACTTTCTCGACTCAAGGCACACTGCAGAGTATCTTAAAGTTCAGAGGCGCAACTGATGTCTACTTTTTGTTTGTGATTTCTAGGAATACAATGATGACTATGGTTTCAGATAGCCTGTGGGGAATAATCAAATCAGACGACATGAGCAATGAAATTACCGAGACGGTACAGTCCGTGTATGATAAATTGTCAGAGCCTGAAAAGAAGATAGAAGCCACATTTGGTTCTCATGATGAAGGGTCTGTCCGAAATGAAGCTAGTATCATGAATGCAAAGCCTTGTGCTGTGGGTGATGACTTTCCTGGTGATGAGTCTAATGAACCCTCAGGTTTCCTTCTGCCAATAAATCATCAAAACAATGGTAAGATACTTGAGGATTCATCACCATCGATGTCTAGCGAAAGGCCTGTAGAAGTGGGAAATGGACGTCCCAACCATTCAGAGAATTCCCTCGGGGTACATGATGTTGATATGAGCATTCTAACTGGCTTTTCTGTGGAGAGAGAGTTGAATCAACCATGCGATGATAGCGACGAGGATCCTGACGTGCCTCCTGGTTTTGGTTGATGATCAGATCTGGTTTGTTTGCAATTCCTACTCTGAAGGCCCTCAACTAGAATGGTTGGTGGTGTTGAACTGTTGATTTACCAAATGATTGGCTGCACACCTCTGACCTATAATTTTCTAGAGAGTTGCAATTGATTTGGCATTGAAGATAATTTTCTAGGTGATTTTGGTTGAGGCTCCTTATGAGCTATGATGGTACTGATATCTAATCCATATTTATCTTGGTCTTATGAGCAAGTGGGCTAAGTTGATAAGGCTATAATGCTCATTTGTTTGCTGTATTGGTGATAGGGGAAATAAGAAGTCCACATGAGAATTATTTAGCAAGCATGAAAGCTGTCCTCTTCTGAAATTTCATTTTGTATTTAGGTCATGGTGCTAACATCATGCGATGATGTTTTGTTGGGGGAGTGTTACTTGAAGTAGCACAATCTAATGGAAGAGAAAATGTATATTTGTTTGAAACACTTCGCTGAGTGCCTTTTGGATCTTTGTTGTCACAAGAGCTTATTTAATCAAGACATACTGTTATCACTTGTGAGTTCGGGTTTTGCTCCTTTGATCTCAGCTTTCCCTGTTAAGGCAAGCAAATTGCAAAAGGAAGGCTGATAGGTATTTGTCTCCCTTCTTTAAACTTTCCTTTCCTTTCCTTGGCATTAGGGCATGGGTATTCTTGCATGAAAGCTGCAGAACATAAAAGAATAGGATAGCAAAGTTTGGTTATGAAATTTTCTAATTCTAAGTTCCACAAAATATAAGCATTCTTCTCGTGAAAAAACAACAGCAAGCATTCTTCTGTTATTTTAGTTGAAATCGCTTATTAATTATACACAGAATCCTAGCTCTCTAAGAGGATGGATTCTCTCTCGTGTTAACTATAAAAAGCTTTGTTACTGGAGCACTTCTACTATGCTATATAGTATTGGTGATTTAATGTACAACTTAAAGTTGTACCATAACATTAAATGTATAAGTTTAGGTTGTACCATTATGTTATGGTACAACTTTACAACTTGAAATTGTACCATCACATAAAGGTACAAGTTCAATTTGTACCATAAAAGAATTTGTACAAAAAGTATAGGTACAATATGAAGTTGTACCATAACGTAAATGTACAATTTTAAATTGTACCATAAAGGCAAACCCTATAGCACCAATACTATATAGCATTGTAAAATTTCTCTTGTTACTGCCTCTCTACATTGTTGTTTTTTTACCATGAAAAGGGATAAAAAATACAAAGAACCGTTCTTTACTGGAGATTTTAGAACTTCCTGATAACTGTTCCAACTTTCAGCAAGAAATGGTTGGCTGCATGCCTGCAGTGTGTTATTCTTGATCTGTTGCATCGCTTCTTCAGCCGTACTGCACAGAGATGGGACTTCTGACACTGTGCTTAGCAGAAACCCATAACAGATATCCTTGAGCAAATTGTTGGTGTAATCTGGTTTCATTGGTACGAATGAACATCACAGCGTATTTTGCATTCTGGCCCACCTTTGTGAAGTGTAACTCTGAAGGCTTCACAGCTACTCGGACCCCGATTGGAGGAGTGATCTTCACATAATAGCTTGAATTCCCCTGACCAACATTTGTAACTGTTCTTATCAATGTCTGGGAGCGCCCTAGTGTTACCGAGAGTGAAGGGTAGTTTAGCTGTCCTCCAGGTATCTTTCTTTGCGTTTTGCATTTGATTGACATTCTTGTGATAATCCAAACTTGTTTATTTGTGTACCCTAAGCTACACAGGTACCCTATATATTCTCCAGGGTGGATGTCATAGATCAGACCGGGGTCATCTGCCTTCAATGGGTTAACATGGCCAGCTCCAATGGCAAAGAGGTCGGCAGGTTGATAATCTTGATCAATAATTGTGGTGCCTCTCCTGGTTTTGATATCGGCTGTTGTCATTATAGCAGATTTGATGGCAGCAGGTGACCAGGTTGGATGAGAGTGCTTGAGCAATGCTGCAATCCCACTCAGATGAGGGCATGACATAGATGTGCCAGACTCGATATTGAATCTCGGGTTCTTCATCTTGTTCGTCCCTCGGGATGGCCATGCTGCTAGGATGCTCACTCCAGGCCCCATAATGTCTGGTTTCAGAATTCCTCTGCACACCATCGTGGGCCCTCTTGATGAGAAAGAAGTTACAGCTGGAGCTGTCCTGTCTCCTAAGGTTGTTCCTTTGAATAAAATGGTTGCTCTTGCTTGCTTATTTGCCTTTATGTAAGCTTTAATCTTCTGCCCTGCTGCATAGCTGACATGTGTAGCAGGAAGAACATGAGGATCAGCTAACGTACTGAACCCATCCTGTTCTCCATTTGCAAGTATCAATGCTGCGCCGCCAGCATTTTTCACTTCCTTGCCTATGTCAAGTCTATCCACCAAACCTCTATCACACAGAACAACTTTGCCCTTCACGTTCATCCCTACCAATGATCCTTTCCCACAGAATTCCGACAATGGCTTCTTGTTCATCCCAGCATAAACAAGTGGCAACGCCGTCGAGTGAAATTCCCTGGGTTGGAAAAGGGATTCACCTTCAAATGTCTTCCCATTTGCTAGCTTTGCAGTAGCCAGAACTTTTCTGTCTATGGTGCTTGCACCAACTGTTAAAACCCAAGGGGCTTCACTAGACAATGTGCTATATCCAGGCCCAGAATTTCCAGCTGCCATGCTCACAAATATCCCCTTCTTTGCTGCTGCTAATGCCCCCACCGTGATACCATCTTTATATAGTTGAACTCCAGGGTCTGCTCCTAGGGAGATTGAGATAATATCAACCCCATCATGAATCGCTGCATCCATCCCTGCAAGTATATCACTCTCAATACAGTTATGTGAGCAGACTTTGTAAATTGCTAGATGGGCACCAGGTGCCATTCCTGCTGCTGTACCCTTGGCATTCCCAAACACATTAGCATTGCTCACAAAGCCACCAGCTGCTGTGCTTGCCGTGTGAGTGCCATGTCCATCTCGATCAATTGGCGTTTCAGGTTTGCCTCCCTTCTTCCTAGCCTTAGCTCCAAGGTTGAAAGTTCTTGCACCGATCAGTTTATTGTTGCAGTGTGATAGTTTGAACTCACACTTCCCTTTCCATTTGGATGGAGGCGGCGGCATCCCTTCGCCAGTGAAGGAAGGATGAGTGGGAGAAACTCCGGTGTCCAGCACTCCAATTATAATCCCACTTCCATAATTGGTTCGGTTCCATAGCCCTGGTTTTAAGTCCAGACCCAAGAAACGAGCGCTGTGGGTTGTCTGTAGATGAAATGTCATCTCAGGACGTGCTGACACGAATCCTTCTTTAAGTTCCATGGCTGCCAATTCTTCCTTTGTTAGCCTTGCAGAAAATCCGCTGATCACATCTATGTATGAGTAAAGCAGACGACTTTGATGACGACCATCCCCCGACCTCGATGTGCTGATGACAGGTACAAATGTCTGGTGCCAAGCCTTCAGATCTTCTACCCCACCATAAGTTGTGCCATCTGGTTGCTTGACATGAACAATGTAAGTCTCCAAATCAGTTTCAAGATTTTCTGCTATGTCGTGAGTCACTTGAGCAATAATCTGAGGAAGGATGTTGATCAAGAAAATGATATAGAGTGAGAGGACAGACATGGTTGTGTAACAGAGCTTGTTTTGGTCCCTCAGTTTGTTTTCGGGACTGACATATAAGTATGGCAAAGAGTCAGTTGCGTACGTTCAATGCATGTGATTTTTGTCCTTTTGGTAGACTGGATGGAGGAATTATTGAGGCAATAGAGCCTTGTCTTGGTGGGAACTTCTACAGTTATTGATTCGACTTATGCTGTAGATTAAACCAGTTGCTTCCATGCTCTTGCTGCTTTGTGAATATGACAAAGTAGTTAAAGAGAGTCCTGTTGTACTTTCTAGCTTTTTAACTTCTTAGGGTTGTCCGCAACAACTAAGGGGTTTGGAATCGTTGGAGGAACATACACGGACAGGCTACATTATTGCTTCCAAAAGAGTTTTGCAGTTGCTACATTTCATTTCTTTAATAAGAAGGCTAAATAATAGACACTTAGAAGGCATTGTTGTATGCGTACAATTTGATAACCTTTAAGCAGAAACTAAATGCCAAGTGCCCATTTTTCTTTTTACATTAGCTTTTCTTGCATTGAAAACCATGAATCAAGGAAGAATTATGATGTAACGTAATTGTGGTAAATATGATAATTCAACATGATGAAAAAAAGAAGCATTCTGCATTTGATCAAATTACATCTCTAACTAATTGAACCATTGAACCATTGAATGGAAATGTATGGAAATTCTGAATCTCAGAAAAAGTAAAACAGCTTAATGGAGTCTGTTCATTTTACTGTTCATTTTACTTTAGCTCAGACTGGATCAGCTTTAGGGGTGGCAACGGGAAACGGGTATTTGGTATATCGAAACCTGTCCCATTTTTTGAAGGTTACGGGTACCCAAATATCCGTTATATTCATTGCGGGATGGGACTTGGGATTATGAATTTCAATATTGGGTACCCGCGGGTTACCCGCTAATACCCGTTTGGATAGTATGGGTACCCGTATTAATCATTAGGATTTATTCAATTAGCTCAAATATGATTCGGAAAGACTGAACATACATAGTATTATTACTATATGACTAGATAGCATCAATCTGATTTCTAGCTTTAACTGCTCATCCATTCTATATGATTTCTAGCATCAATCAAATGGTTGAATGGTTTGGTGAGATTTTGTTATTATGGGGACAGTGGGTTATTATGGGGGCAGTAGCTTATGGGGAGTAGATTTTGTTATGATGCTCATCCATTTAAGATCTTGTGATAATTGCAGATTAGGGCAGTGGTTTATTCTGGGACAACAACTTATGGTATTAGTAGCTCAAACTTTATTATTTTGTTGTTCAAACTCACTTACAGTGGCTTAATTTTATTATTTTGTTGTTCAAATTTCATTTTCAAGGACAAGGAGCTTATGCCTCATGGGGATAATATGTCATTTTATTTCAAGTGTAATTTTATTATTTTGTTCTATGTGTAATTTTGTAATTTACTAATTGTTCCCATGTTGCTCGACTCTCTTTGTTCTGGCTGTCGACACTTCCTTGTCCTTTGGTTATGTTTTTTGCTCCTGTATTGTGGTTTTATGGTGGTTTGGTGGGTTCAACTCTTGTGAACCTTTGGCATGGCCACCACTAGGACTGGAAGTTTGGTACCGGTATTTGGTATATACCGAATACTGTACCGAATTTGTCTATATTTGGTATTACCGAATACATGTATTATTTTGTGGGATTGGGATTGGGATTGAGTTTCAATTGTTATTCGGTATTAGAGATTACGGGATTGGCATCGGTATATACCAAAATACCGATCAATACCGAAATATAAGCTAGTGTGTATTTTATCCTCTCAAATAGACTCTCTCATTCACTACTACGCGACCCTCAACCACCAATAGTGTCATTTAATTATACATAGATCATTACATCACTATTTCACACTAGTATTAGTCGTCTCTCAACCTCAAATTCATCAAATTAAAGATTACTAATTACAAAAACTTGAGATGTTAGCTCTAGGAAACTCAAGACTCTTTGTTTAGTCTCTTTGCCCTAAATTAAACAATAAAATCTAATTTATATATTTAATTATTAATGGCAAAGATAATTAATTTTATATTTGATAATACCGGTTGAGATACGGATGTACCGATTGGGATACCGAAATATTTAGGGATTGGGATACCGAAATTATTTAGGGATTGAGATTGTGATTGATTTCAGGGTGTAATTTGGTATTCGGGATTTCGGTATTTGGTGTTGGAATACCGATACCATACCGATTTCCACCCCTAGTCACCACTGTTGTTTTCACTTTTCCTTTTTCTCAGTATTATCACCCTTATAAAAAAAATCAGCTGCTACCAACCACTTCCTTACACGCCCCCTCAAATGAAAATCGATACATAGCTTGAAGTTTGCACATGCCCGTCAAACCATGTGCTTGAAGATAACGATTAATATTGGGGGTCGTGAAGACTTGAACACGTGACCTTAAGGACAAACCCAACTCTAATACCATGTCAAAAATCAGTTGCTCCCAATAACTCGAGTTGTGAAACAATCTCAGGAATCCCGCGTCTTGTATTATTGATTTTTGTAATATATATACAGCTCAACCTGTTACAATTGTAACTATTCCTACGGAAATAACAGAAGCGAGTGGTTGAGTTGTAGGAACGGAACACAAAAGAATACAGTAAAGTGGGAAGGTGGACAACAAGTCAATTCCAATACTAAGAAAGATATTTCTATCTCTATCACGCTCCCGCAAGTGGAACCTCGGAGAGGTGAAACTTGTAACCGAAACGTCAAAATGGCAGTCGAGATAATGGTTTAGTGAGGACATCAACCAACTGGTCTATAGCAGGAAGATAATGAACATGGAGTTGATGCTTGTTGACCCTATCCGAACAAAGTGAAACTCAATTTCCAAATGTTTGGATCTGGGGTGGAAGACAAGATTATGGGTCAAATATGTCACCCCCAAATCATCACACCATAGAACTGGGGCAATAGATAATTGTTGGCCAAGTTCTGTGAGCAGAGCTTGAAACCAAATGACTTCGGAAGCAAGGGTAGCCAAAGCACGATACTCACACTCAGTGGATGACCGGGCAACTGACTTCTGCTTTCTTGTGGACCACGAAACCAAGTTGTCACCATAGAAGACTACATTTCCTGTAATAGACTTACGATCACGAGGGCAAGAGGCAAAAGAAGCATAAGAGTAACCATGAATTTGTCGACTGGTGGAGCTTTTGGAAGACAAGTCCTTGGTCAATAGTCCCCTTCAAATACCGCATAAGTCGTTTGATAGCAGACCAGTGAGAGTCGGTAGGAGCATGTTGAAATTGAGATACGTGATTGACAACAAATGAGACATCCGGGCAAAGTTCTTGAATATATTTGCGCTGACTAATGATGATGCCATTGATAATAGTGTGATGTACCTCTAAGCTTAGAAAATATGAGAGACGGCCAAGATCACGAAGAGCAAAGAGGGTTTGTAAAAACCGTATCATTCGGTAGAATCAGTGTCGGTGATAATAATGTCGTTAACGTATACCAATATATAAATAGAAGCATCGGCAATATGATAGATAAACAGATATGGATCTGTTTTGGAGGGAGAGAAGCCAAATTCAGAGAGGGCCTTAGATAAGCAGTAGTGAAACCATACCGAGGAGCGTGTCGTAAGCCATATATTAACTTCTTCAGTCGCAAACATGATCCAGCTTATCCGGGTCGACAAAACTTGTAGGCTGCCTCATATAGATTTCTTCTTGCAAGCTGCCATGAAGAAATGCATTAGAAATGTCGAGTTGATACAAATGTCAGGAGTTGGAGACGGCAATACCCAGAAGAAGCCGTAGAGTGGCTGGCTTTAGAATGGGACTGAAGGTGTCCATAAAATCATGACCAAGAATATGTTCGAAGCAACGGGCAACAAGACGCGCATTGTGTCGTTCAATGGAGCCATCATGGTTGGTCTTGAGAGCGAAGACCCAACGATTGCTGATAGGATGACAACCCGGAGGTAGAGGAACTAATTCCCAAGTCTTGTTGCGGATAAGAGCGTCAAACTCGATGGTCACAGCTGCACGCCATTGAGGAGACTTGAGAGCCTGAGCCAGGGGCGGGCCCATGGGTGTTTGGGGGTGTCCCGGGACACCCTAAATTTTTGGAAAACGATTATCCAATCCCCGATGGTAATTTACGTATTGACAAAAAAATTTTAATTGATAGTCGGTGATACCCCTGAAATATAAAAAAGTGATTATCCTACTATCATCTTTTAGTTTGAGTATGAGAATTGACACGCCAAAACACAACACCAATCTGCGACCAAGTGTAATCGCAGACCGGGAATGCAGTAACAGGCAAGTTATATTATCAACCCGGGGTCTAGATCTACTGCTTACTCAGTGATTCTCTGTTATCTAGCCAACTAGAGTAAGTGATTGTTGTTTAAACTAAAAGCAGAAATAAAGCAGAAAATTAATCGGTTTTCTTAAGCAGGAAAGAGTCACTCGGGAATGAATCCCCCTAGCTCCTTAGTTAGGTTCAATTGCAATTCCCTGGGTTGATTTACTGTTGATTAGACTGCGGAAGATCCGGCAGTAGCTTGGAATCTCTTAAGCTGACCAAGCCCTCTCAGTCTAACTACCCGGCAGACGACTAGTCTTCACCGGGATAGAAAGCTGAAGCAGTAAGAACAGAAATTCACTACTGGAATTAGATTCCAGTACAAAGCAGTAAATTGATTGACTCTCGCACAACCAATTCACCACTATCAATCAAGGAAGCTCTCTTAACCTAATCAGATTCTATCTATCATAGGTTAAAGCAGAAATCAAGAGAATTTGATCAAGATTCAATTGACTCAATAAAGCATGTCTCAATCGATTAAAACCAAACAGTAATATCATCCCAAGTCATTACAATCAATCCCTAACACATAGAACCAGGGTTCTTCATCCCCAAGTGAGAGAGAGGTTCTACTCCATAGAGAGAGAAGAGAAAACAAGAATCGGATTAGTCATACTCATAATGATGAGGATAATCTGCTCCGGGACGATGATTTTCACTCCTATGACGATCTCCAGGCTCGATTCGATGAAATCCAGCTCTAAGACAGCTTCTAGGATGTGTTCTTCGTACTTTCTCTCTCTAGGGCTCTGTTTTTGCTCTGAAAACACTGTTCTCTCACTTCTGGCTCGGATTAGGCTTTAAAACCGGGTTTCCCGAGTTGCACGGCCAGGGTGCACGGCCGTGCACCTCACCATTCTGGCCGTGCACCATGAAACGCAGCGTATCCCTTAAGTCGAACTCAGGCTTCTTGCACGGCCAGGTGCACGGCCGTGCAATCTTCAGGGCCTGCCCGTGCAGCTCCTCGGCATGAGGCGCACGGCCAGCTTGCAACCGTGCACGGCCGTGCAGCCTCCCTGGTCTGCCCGTGCAGCTCCCCAAAAACCTCGCCATTCGTCCGTTCTTCGTCCAATCGACCCCAGACTCGCTCCTAAGCCTTCATTCACGTACTAGGACCTGAAATATCACAAACAAGCACAACCTAGCGTGAAATCGGCCTAAAACACGAGAATCAACACCTCAAACGGTGTAAGAACGGGGGTAAAAACATGTGTAAATGACGGTCTATCAAGAATATAAGTGGTAGTTTGGGTAATTCAAACCTAGGACACTTTTATTATGTTATTAATAAACATAATTTCCATTAGGCTACAACTCATATGTTATTCGATTTTAAATACTGTGTAATATTAAAATGTCATTCTCTATCTCTAATTATATTCAAAATCTAACAATTAAATAAATTTCAAGCTACCCTTAATTTGTATTGAAATTATGGTTGTACGACAAGTGTTGAAAGAGTCTTTTCAGCTTTGGATCACATATTTGATTTCTAAACTTATTCTTGATGTAATCCAAAGCTGAAAAGACTCTTTCAACACTTGTCGTACAACCATAAAATCAATACAAATTAAGGGTAGCTTGAAATTTGTTTAATTGTTAGATTTTGAAAATAATTAGAGATAGAGAATGACATTTTACTATTACACAGTATTTAAAATCGAATAACATTGGAGTGTCGGGGTCTGAAACCAATGAGATCGAGATGACATCAACTCCATCATGGATAGCTGCATCAAGCCCAGCGAGTACGTCACTCCATGAACAATTATCAGCAGGACACACTTAGTAGAATTCACTGGAGATGCAACTTTCACATAATAAACCTATCTTCTTCCTGCCCCACTAAGTTGTTGCGAATCCTTTCTTAATCCTTTGTTTGGTGTGAACTGGAAAAAGGTCTATCAAGTTACAAGAAAGGCTATATAAACATGCAAATGGTGTCATAGCTGAATAGATGATGAATTATTATGCGCAGAGGATAAAAAGGAAGGATTGGTGGTGCAGAAAGAGGTGTGATCCTTCTGCTATTCTAGCATTAGGGTTCCCCTAGTATGAAAAGCTCTCTAGACGCTTGATTTTGGCACTGGTCTAGCCCAACGCCACCTTGCCTTCCACACCGTTCAAGGAGCCTGGCTCGCATAATGCTGACATCGGGTTGCCATTATTGCCTGCATAAACTAACGGAAATGGCCAGTACCAAGCCAAA